TGCGGGCGCTCACGCTCTGGAACCTGGTGTTTTAGGTGTTGGAGGGTTCCCCGAACATCCGCGGGTGAGCAGGGCCTTTAAACATGGTGGAATAAATGACACGTTATGTCTTTTAACTTGGGAATAATGCTCTTGCAAAGCTCACTCTATACTGAGTGCAAACGGGAGCGTGTGCTGCACCTGTGTGCCCAAAGAACGGACCATTCCGTAAAATCTTCATTTTTTTTTAGAAGACTTATTTCTAGTTCATCACTGCCTGTCACAAGTATCTGTTCTTCAGGGAGTAACTTATCTTGCAGCCAAATGTGGGGCAGCACTTAGATGTTCTAGCTTACTGTGAACTCGGTGCTCTGCATAGACAAGCCCTTGGCAGTCTGAGTCTCTTCATTAAGCAATTAAATCTGGAACTGACACGATACTTTTCCTATTTTTCCCATCAGAGCTATTATCCAAGTGTGCAAGCAGCAGCACACTTCCAGTGTTTAGAACAAAATATAGTTATTTCTTTAGGAATAAATGAAGCAAGATCTAAAACTGGACATAACTATCAACATAAATCATTGCATATATACAACATAGAGTGTTAGAACTTCAAGAAAATAATGTCTGGTTCGAAGTGAACTTCAATAATTTCATAATGTCAGCATGTGAAAAGCCCAAATAATTTGTTTTAAATGCTAAATTCTTAGAAATTAGTAGCATTGATATACTGAGAAACAAAAGCTCGAGTGAATGATACAGATAATGTGCAATGTTTGTTTAAAAAAATGTACTTTGTGTATTTGACTACTTCATTCAGGAAGTGGGGGTGGTACTTTTTGGTCATTCTCCCCCTTTTACTCAGGTGTTATGTTTTCCTGTCCTGCAATAGGTTTTGCTGGATACTCAAAAACATTCCTAGAAAACAATGTCCTTCGACTTTGATAGTGGAGCTCTACAAACTCAACATGAAGATGAAGACTATGACCAAGAGGATTATGCAAGAGAACAAGAGGTGAAAAAGAACCAATTATTTAATCTCAATGCTAGCGTATCTAGCTTCTTCCCATTTTTTTAAGTGTTTTTTTTTAAAAAAAAAAAAAAACCCAAAGCAACAAAACTTTCATGCTGTCTTTGGTAAGAATGAAACAGAGTGCAGACTGTGCTTTGCAAGAGTGGCCTAAAAAGGAGATGCTGAGGTGTTGCATCGTAAGAGCCTTGCAATGTCATATAGTTTCTGGAACTGTAGCTCTTTGCCTGTGCAGTGGATCAAATGCAGAAGGCTGGTGTTACCTACATCTTGTATTTCTTGGCAGCTTTTTCACTTATTAGAAATACCTACAAAGCAGCAGCTCTCTTTCACTTGGAAATTTGGTTAGCTTAGAAAAGAATGAGAATAATTATCCAAATTTTATAATTCTGATTATAAATTACATACTTTAATATCTAGAAAAATATATTCGGATTTTTGGGGGAATTTTTTTTTAGCTGAAATACTTTGGATGTTTCTGTTCTCTTTCATAAAGAGAATTGGCAAAATGTGTGTTTAATGTGAATAATGGTTTCTTACAGGGTAGTAAATCACGTTCATGTCAGGTAACCTCCCCAGTATGCACATCAGGGATCACTGTCTAGAGTATAGATAATGTAAAGACAAATGTTCACAAAAATGTGTAGTAGAATCATAGCTGTTCAACCTGGAAAGATGCTATTGCAAACACTGTGAGGAATCTGATGTCTGTTCCAAAACTTTCTACCCAGATAAAGAACGTTGTGCTTGTGCAGAACAAGTAGTGAAATAATTGTCAGGTTATTACAGTGACCAAGAGAGTGAGTGCATAAATAGGATTGTAAGTTCAGAGTGTTGAGGGGAACAGCTTTTCTATAAGGGGGGGCTGGCAGAGCAGAGGCTGTTTAGCCTGGAGAAGAGAAGGTTCAGGGGGAATCTCATCAGTGTGTATAAACACCTGAAGGGAGGATGTAAAGGCAATGGAGCCAGGCTCTTCTTAGTGGTGCCCAGTGACAGGACAAGAAGCAATGGGCACAAACAAAGCAGCCTCTTTGGAGTAAGCTAGTGATAATCCTTATACGTCATGCCCAGTTGAACTGGGGCAAGGTAGGGTTCACAAAACTACGTGCTGTAGGTGTTTCAGTGGGATGTGACTTTTGGCCCGATAAAAGGAGGCTAAAACACAGGCTCTGCTGTGTTCCATGGTCAAGACATGTTCCAAGACTTCCCACATTATTTCAGCTTTTCTGCCACAGCAAACCAGGTTTGTATTTCTTGGAAACCGGGGAGATTTACATGGTAGGAGAGTACTTTGGCACTAACTTAAGACTTGGGTGACCCTCAGCTGCATCTGGAGGCCTGTGCTAGCTGACCTGGTAGACTGAGGTCTGTTTAAATATGAACTCTCACGATGATGATTTGTGAACTGTGCATGCACTGCTTTCTCTTGACTTTGTTTCCGGAGCAGTGCAAGACCAGCAAAACCCATGGTGCTTGAGTATGCCCTTGGTTGCAAATAGGGCAAAGAAAAGGGAATCTTTAGTGAATGATGCTGCCTTGCCTTTCCTGCATCCCAGAGCTGAGATATAATAAATCTAATGATAGGGAAACTTCTTTATGCCACTAGTGAATTTCTAGGAACAAACTTCTGGTGCTGTGTTTTTTCTGTAGACATTTAGAAAAGTTGTCCTTAACTTACCACCTATCCTTTGGTCTTAGATGGCATCTAAAATAGCATGTGAGAAAACATGATATCTTTAAGATAAACTTAGTTCAGCAGTGTTTTGGTTGTGGGTTGGGTGGGGTGTTTTGTTTTGGTTTTTTTTTTGTGGCACAACTATATTTCCTGAACTAGCAGTGGTGGTATTTTCCTCTCTTTGTGTCCAGTTGCTTGGTTACTTCATCTGAACACATGAGCAGAACACTAATCATTGCAGTGGTGACTTCTTGCATCTGATAACACTGGCTGTCAAGTTCTTATCAGAATTTGAATCCAGACTCCTCAGAGCATGAATGTCCAGTACCTCTCTTGGCTGGAGTTTAGGGAGAAGGAACCTTGGCATGATTAGTTTGCAAATCATTCTTCAAAAGTAGTCTGTCCTGGGACATGTCTGTCTGGTGGCATTTCTCTTACCTCTTTTTGGTGCAGCAATTTTCTTAACAATTTTTTCTGGCAAACTCTTGCTAGGTTGGTACTCTAGTCTATTAAGCATTTTGTGGTGTAAGTCTCTCTGTGAATTTCAGTGTTGTGAACTTTTCAGTGGAGGAAGAATAACAGGATTTTGTGCAAGTGCCCTGTTTTGCCTATCTCTGTCTCTTTGGACTGAACTTGTATGCATTGTTTTGAAAAGCATATAATGGCATGTTGTTTGTTCTGTTCCAGTTGCAACAACTATTGACAGACCTTCCCCACGATATGCTGGAGGACAGTGGAGATCAGCTCTCCAGCTATTCAGACTGTAGCATTCACGAGACTGAGGAGCAGTAAGGCATTTTCATCATTTTTTATCACATATGTTATGCTTTTGAGAACAGAGCAAAATCTCAGCTGATCAGATGTATAAAAGCAATCCAAGTAAAAGGGGAGCTGTAGTGCAGTTTGCAGTATGGTTTGTGTTTCATGACAAACAAGCTAAATACCACTTAATTTAACTAAGAGATGGTGTATGTGGTTTTTGGGTTTGTTTTGTTTTTTTCCCCTCCTGAAATTATAAGTCCATAGTTAAGCTGCTTGTCTTTCTCTAGATCACATGAGCCTGGGAAGCATGATGGAAGGTGGAATGATCATCCACTGATAAGTGATCCTCAAAATGTAAGTTTGTATGAGCAGAGATGTAATTAGTAGGAACTGCTTGTTCATAATATGCTAAGTAATATTTAAATTGATTAGAGAAATACTTTTCATGTAGGTGACAAGTTTTGCTCTTCATTTGAAGTATTTCTAACTTGAGGGCTGATAACTCCAGAAGAAGGGGAATGGGAGGAAGTCTGCATTTTGAGACAGCAATTCTAAACCTCTTATCCATTCATAGGGTTATGAGCAAGGACAGAATCTGTACCCTGAACAATTCTTGTGTGACCAGCAAAATGATCATGTTGAAAAACATGGAAAGAATTGGAATGGCCTACATAATGATGAAGAGAAGAAACATTTATATAATGTTAAAGATGATTACTGTGGCCAGAATGGTCAAGAGGATCCTGATGATATGTATCTTGGTAGAGATGAGTTTAATTCTCCAAGTTGCTACCAACAGAACAATGTGTATCATCTTCCTGAAAACTTCAGGCCGTATACAAATGGCCATAAACCAGAACTTAACAATCAGCAAAGTAAAATAATAAATTTTCCAGATGCTCCAAAGGAACATCTTAAGGTACCTTATTTCAGAAGCTGATGCATTTTTCTGTCTCTTTTGGAAAATTTTCACAGGTCTTTAACTATTGGTAGTAGTATTTCTAAATGCTTTCAGTCTCTTGTTATCAGTTTAAACAGTGATGAGAGGCTTCTGTAGTCAGCTTAAAACAATGAAGCATTAAATAATTGGATTTTCATATGTGCATGTTATGATTTTTTTTTTTCTCTTGTTGGCTAAGTAGAATTCCATGAGGTAGAATGAATGTGATTCACTTAAGTATGTGCTTACTCTTTTGATGTTCACACTTCACCACACTCCTAAAGTGGAAGCTTTCATGAAAATTTCTGTCACCTTTACATGATGTGCTAGACTAGAGCCTGAAAACGAAGAGCTTTTCTCAATGCCAACCTGTAAAATGAAAAATATTTTAATTGAGCAAGGCTACAGTTGTATTTTTAATTTATTTCCTCTTATATATTGTTACACCAGCAATTTGTTGCATCTGGTGTTGTCAGTGGCCAATCGCCAGAATCTTACAAAGTGACTTATAAACCATACCAAAATGGCATTCATCAAAAAATTCCAGTAATCCAGGAGGGGACCAGAAGAAATGAGGTGTTTGAAGATTTGCAACATGAATTCTTGGGCAATGATGAGAGTAAGTGTTTGCTGTTTAGACTTGAAATAAACTTCTGTGAAAAGTCCACTGCAAATCAACAATGGAAAACCTGTTGATTTCAGTAGATTTTTAGTAAGAGGGCAACTAAAAGTATGTTGATATGTATGATCTTTTATTTTGCTCTAAGCTTACATTGGGATAGCCCTATTCCCCTGTGTGTGCTCCTCTCTCCCCCCGCCCTTTCATCTAGAAATCAGCTCTTTGAGCAGGGTATTTGAGTTTAAGGCTATTAAAAATGTAGCTTTGGCTGGTGAGACAGAATGAAATTATTGCTGGCAGCTTGATCTCAAGTTTGCTGGCATGTTGTTGTGTTTATAATACTGGACAATAATGACTTACTGTACCTTAGGAAAGACATTTTGCTTGGTGCCACATTGGGCTTTTCTGTTAGGTACACTTGAAATGACAGAACTACTTTGCTTGTTGGACATCTTGAAAATTTATAGTTGCCTCAAGACTATGTGTGAATTCACAGCATGTAAACCTTTATCTGGGTTTGCTGTTACCTTTGAATTATGTTGGTAGTTCCTACAATTCTTCAGCTGTTGCTGCCAGAGCAACTCGGGTAATGTGAGTCAAACATGGATTAAAAAATGATGCAATTTTGTGAGCCAACAGTGAATTTGGCACTGTATGAAAGAAGTATCTTGGGGCAGGAGTTACTTACAATTACTTTCTTGATTAGTTGACTGTGCTGACTTGTCTGTATGGTATTTGAAATTTGGCAGGTTCAGAAAATATGCAGATTCTTCAGCTTCAAGTTCTAAATAAAGCAAGAGAAAGACAACTGGAAGAACTGAATGAAAAGTTAGAAAAGAGTGCACAGCAGATTAGGTATTTGAATCATCAACTTTCAATGGTCACAGGTAAAATATTTTGTACTAACTCTTAGGTTTTATTTATATTTAGCAACTTCTTTATTCTGAAACTTATTTAGGTAGTGCCTCTGCAGGTATTGATCATATTTAGAAACTTAATTTGGGATTATGGGGACCTAACCCTCTCCCCCCAGCATTGTTCTAAAGACAGTTTTCTGGATTGGTGCCTGACTGCATAACTGCTTTAACTTTTACTGCATTCTCAAGACCACCATTGTATTCCAGAATTCCCATGTGCCAGGCATTAAAAATGTACAGAAGAGTGAGAAGTTTGCCAAAGTAGTGTGTTAAAAGTACAAAAAATAAAAAAAAAAAGCCCAAGCCCCAATAGGAGAAGTGTACATGTATGAAAAAACTTTTGTGCTGTCCGGTTTAACAAGCCAAAAAGAGTCCCGAGCTTAGAGAGTTAAGAGTGTAACTTTTAGAATGCAAAAGGAGCAAAGGAGAGAGAAAACTTGAGCTGTCAACCATTTTGCTATGACTTGGCTGTGCCTCTAGGGGAATTATTTTGTTTCTCCCATTAAATGGTGTAAGGGGTGATGCTAGTTCCTAGAGCCGACAGAATGAGGCTTGTTTCCACTAGGGTTCTGAAGGTACATTGTACCAGAGTGCTTCCAGCTGCCGGAGGGAGAAAGTGGTTACTGGATGGAGACTAACTGAATGTTTTTGTTCTGTCTGCTGCTTAGTGCCCACAGTATGAGACAGAGGGCTCATAGTGAATGGTTCTGTAGTGCAGGGATACTGAACAGTCGTGTTCCATGAAGTTGTTGGGTGACTGGCCATGTTTCTCACACAGTTATTATGTCTCTGTCTTAAGATGAAAAGGATGGTTTGGCTGTTAGTCTTCATGAGTCTCAAAAACTCTATCAGAATGGGAAGGAACGGGAAATGCATCTTGAAGGTCAAATAAAGGCTCTTGAAACTCAAATTCAGACTCTTACTACCAACGAGGAGCAGGTACTATAAATATTTTTAAACTGTTTATTGTGAAAGATCTCTACAGTTGTATTTGTGGTGCATTTGCATTAAACATAAGTGCTAGTCTCTTGAAACACTGTTCATGATCATTGTAGAAGCTGAATACATGATGGATGAATAAGATGCATTGGTGGAAAACAGTTTGTGTTAAAATCCAGGCATTATCTGAGGACTCTTAGCAACTCTTGCACAAAAAATCTGAACAGATACACAGAATGTTGGAACAAAGGTAAAATATATGTAACTTGGAGCTACTCTAATACTGTTCCTACAGATATTGAAGCAATCCAAAGTGGCAGAAGTAGCCATGGAAAGCATGCAGAAGCAACTGTTAGAACTTCAGCGATCAGATGCCCTTCAGCGAGCCAGAGAACAACATGAGGCCATTGTTCAGGCACTCAAGCAGAAGTATGAGAAACAAGTATTGTCACTAGAGCAGAAGCTTGATACTACAAAATCTGCACTCCGAGAGCAGGTGAGAAATTATTTTAGAATGTGGAGTACTGTACTGGAGAGGCTGTAGAGCTCTCCATGTTTCCTAAACTGCACTTGACCTATAATTCTAATAAATCCTTCTGGAAGCTGCTAAGCAAATGTAAAGGAAATTCTACATAAGTCTCAATATTATGTAGCCTATGTGGTATGTTTTTATTAACACCTCCAGGCAGCTGTGAGCTCAAATTGTGAGTTTGTACATAGCAGATGCAGAGAATGCAAAATTCCATTGTCTTATTTTCTCTCCTGAGCTTTCATTCTGTGCACCGTCTATTTTTGAAAGAGTTCTGGCAAATAAATCTAGGAAACAAAAGAACTAATTAACAAGAAACTGTGTGATTTTTTTTTTTTCCGCAATAAAAAGTTTATTAAACAGCCTATTGCCAAGCTTTAGTCTCAAAATCATCAAGGATGACTAACCACTGAAATAACTTTATTTTAGAAGTACGGATTTAAGAGCTGGGGGGGAAGGCTGGCTTTAAGGTGGAGTTTGATATGGATTGTGTCAAATGGTTACAGAGCTTATTAAAGTTATTCTACCTGACATGTCATAAGAGTCTATTACACTATTAGAAATATCCAGGCAATGTAGTTGAGGCAGGCCTTAATAAATTGTACTCTCCTTTCACATAAAGGAAATAGAATTAAATTTATTCAATCCGAGGTCTGTAATTCTTGTCTTAACATAAATATGCTTAAAAATAAATGGGTTGTATGTTTGAAAAGGTAACTGGCACTTGCTTGTAAACAAGAATGCACTGCTAAATTTCTGTCTATTAGTACCGTGACAAAGCTTACACAGCTTTGTCTCTACTGCAAAAAAAAGTTTTTCATGGTAGTATGTTTGAGGTATTTAGAGGGAAATCTCCTGTTTTTGAGAGAAAATAGAAAAGTCAAAAGGCATAAAAGCAAGGTACTGTGCCTCCCAGGTCTGTGTAGGTAACTGCAAGGAATGCCATATGAAGGTCTACTTTGTACATCATAAAAACAAACTTGTTAGCTTGGCTTAAGCTCAGTTAAAATAAATTAAATTGACTTGAGCTCAGGCTTAATATACATAATGGGAAGGCTTGTTTTTTCTGCAGTAGACTTAACTGTATGTGATTAGTTACAGGGGATAATCTGACATGCTGAAAACTAACTGCTCTAGGAATTATGAAATGGTTCACATCCATGGATGTTTATATATGAGTATACTTAACTGTCTCAGTGAAAACTTAACTTTGATGCTGTAAGAGATGACTTGTCAGCCAGGGATAGCATTTGGTCTGTGATAGATTTAGCTGGCCTTTTCCCCTTAAGGTATCCAACTGATTCTTTTTCTCCTGTGTTTTCTATGTATTGAGTCTTTCTGTATCCACTGTCCTAGATGGCTAGGTTTTTGTAACATGAGTGAAAATTATCTCTTTTCCTAGAAAGAGACTTGCAAAAATCTAGGAGAGCATGTTAAGCAACTTGAAAAAATGCTGGAAGAAACCAAATGCGAAAAAACTGAAATAATAAATCGACTGACAAGAAGCCTAGAAGAAAGCCAAAAGCAATGTGCAAATCTACTGCAAACAGGTCAGCCTCTTACTCGTACCTTATCTTTCCTTGTAGAAATTACTCCAGTTTTTTGAAGTATGGACATCAGTGTTCCTATTGAAATGGAATCAATGTCAAGCTAAATGTGTACTAGGCTACTTCCTATGCAATACATCAGTCAGACTTAAATGAAGTTTAGTGAAGTCTAGGCTGAAGTGTAAAAAAAAAAAACAAAAAAAAAAACCAAACCCAAAACCAAAAAAAAACCCACTCCCCCCAAAAAACCCCGAACAAAAAATCCCCCAAACAACAGTGATTAAACTATTTTTATATGTGTCTTCTGCTGCATATGTGTAAACTTGGCCTTTGGGAGCAAGCTACTTGTTTTTGTGTTAGGCATTTAACTTGAATTGCCATTCTAAATTCAAATCTCCATGAGAAAAGAATTGTTTTTATGGCTGGAGGCTGGTTTTTAGAAACTTATATCAGTAGGAATAGCACATTAAATATTCTGTTCTTTGTGTATTTGATTTGTGCCTACCTTTACACATTGAAGTCTTTTAATAGTAGTAGATGTCTTCTCATAGAATCCAAACATCTTAACTAAATGAAATGTCTGTCTTCTTGGATCCAACTTTAAGAGCATGTTCTGTTTGAGAACTGTGGTAGGCTGGAAGAAAAATCTCTATAGAGAGAGCCTAAATGTCAGGATAGAGAAAGAGAAAAACCTTATTAGATCTGTATTATGTAGTAAATAAGTAATTATAAGTGTGATAGGATATTTTAAGAGTGCAGTTGCCAATTGAAGAAATGCCATGATTTTTCTGTGCTGTATTCATCAAATGCCTTAAAGCAGTAATAAACTGGGAAACTGATAAAGTTAAACTTTTCACCAGCGGGAGGAGGGGAATGTGGCCTGTTTTCCAAGGTGGTCCTGTTCCTGCTAAATTTCTGGCACAATTGCACAGTGTCATTTTTTGCTTCTGGTGAGCTACAAGGAAAGCAAACATTTGGCCCATCTTGTTCCTCATGGTATTTATTTTAAAGCTTCTCTTAAAAAAAAAAAAAAAAAAAAAAAAAAGCCACTGTAGTTCCCAAACTTTGAAACAAACTGTAGTTTAAATTGGAGACCTGTAGTAACCTTTACTTGTTTAATTCAGGCAGAAGTATTCTTGCCTCCACTATTTGTATTCTCTGTTAGTGAGCTCAAGGAAATAGAAACAGAGTAATGCCTATTACCAGAATCAATGTCACTATTTTTAACTGTGATCTTTTTGAGATTGCATAATCTTCCTTGCATATTTATGACTTGCTCTTTCTCTCCCTTTTCTTTCCTGCAATAGGCTCAATGCAGGAGACAAATCAGTTACGGTTTCAATTGCAACAAGCTCAGTCTGCACATATGATAAGCAACAACATGAACAAGGCTCTGCAGGTTAATTAGTTTTATTAAATATTTTACTGTTTTGATTTTAGGGAGACAGGCATTATAGCTAAGAGGTTGGTAGTTAAAACTCTCTATCTGTTGGGGAAACGACTACCTACTACTTCATCTCCCAGTGTTGTGTGTTGGATGCTGCTTTTTTTAGTTGGAACATAGCAGGGCATATATGTTGGCACAAATCTGATATCATCCATCTATCTAACCTGCTTCTGGAAAAAGAGGAATGTAAATTCTATTTTCTGGGACTCTCATAACCTAGGCTATGGGGGTAGCTGGAGATATGTTCTGAAATTTAACTTTTGCTAGCAAAAGGGAATGCTAGATAGGCCTCTGTAAAATATGAATGGAAATCTGTGTTTCCAGTTCAATTTGTGTATTTGACTTAAATTTATAGTCTTGGAAATTATGAATACTATATAAGTATTCATAATAAGTACTAGAGTAGTAGGCTATTTTTCCAGCTATGTATTTATCTGTTGTCATCCATTTTACTATACAAGGACAGCAGGAAAGAAGTAAGAGCAAAAGAAATAATACTTAACTTGATATATGAACTATAATAAAAACAATAGAATATACTGAGCAACAGAAAATACTCCCTAACTAATTTGTAGTTTTAACATATGCTTTGCTAGAGGCATCAAAAAAGGTAGTATAAATAAATAAAAAACCCTATTGCTAGGTGATTCAGGTAAATACAGAAAAATACAACTACATTTAGAAAGAATAGCTCCATGTATTTGTTTTCTTTGGAAGAGTTATCACAGGCCTGATGTGTTTGCTTGGAGTTTCTCTGCTCAGTGTAATTTTTTTCTGTCTCTTCCTTTAAGGAAGAATTAACGGAACTGAAGGAAGAAATAGCTTTGTATGAGTCTACTGCCAAGCTTGGAGTATTTTTAAATGATGCAGGTGGAGAGCTGCATACGAACCTGGGTGATTCCTATGTAGATTTGGGAATTAAGAAAATCACCGGGAAGAAACCAAAGTTCTTCAGGTATTGAGTGGTTTGTTTTTTGTTTGTTTGTTGTTTTTTGTTGTTGTTGAAAGAAAAATCTAAAATCCTCAAGAACTTGTCCAAGTGATGCGTAAAAGATGGTCTTACTAGATCAACATACAGGGTTTTTGGTAGATACTTGAAATACTATTTGTATTGCCAGGTAATCTGGGAAACAGCAAACTGGACTAATACAATAAATTGGATGCCTAATTGCTGCTTAATAAGTCCTTAGATTTTATAGGTACTATCTTGCTGTTCCTTGGATTGTATGGATTCTATGCATGGATATCTCTTTGCTCAAAGATTCCGCAGTTATTTAATGCTAAAGCTGTCTTTTAAAACAATCAATTGAATTTTCTTAAAATACCTTACATCATATGAGCATGAATCTCTTGGGAAAACAGCTGAATGAATGAGCTTTCTGTACATTAATTGCAACTTGATGAAAAAGCATATGATTTTTCTATTCATGTTCTCTCATTCCTTTTACTATTGCCTCTTGGATAACTGCATTTCTGGTAGCATTAGTTGCTCCTCTCTTTGCTACCATTACCTTTCAGATAAATGGGTTTTGTCTTTTAAATACTGAACCGGTTATGTCTTCCCTAATAGTGCAATACAGAACAGAGACATGGATAAAGAGCTCTCTAAAGATGAAATTATTGTAGAATTAAAAGCTGAGCTGGAACGTTTATTGAGCAGTAATAAAATGAAGAGAAACCAGATTACTCAATTACAAAATGATCTTAAAGATTGCCAGAAGACATTAGAGGAATACAAGCAGTTGTTGAAAGCAGAAAAAGCATCAAAACAGTCAGAGGTTTGTTCTTTTACACTCTTTTAAAAGTAAAGATGCACTGGACTTTAGTGAATGAAACCAACATTTAAACTTCTTACAAAAATGGACCAAAGAACTTACAGCCAAGGTTCATAGCAACTAAGTGAATGTGTCTTTGATCTTAAGGGAAGTATTGTCATCTGGGTGATACTTTGTTATGTATCTTTGGTGAAAAAGAAACAAACTGAATAGCAGAACTGGAGCAGGGTATGCCTTATTAGGCAAGTTCTGATGTGGTGGCTTATTTGCTTCATAGCACTTAATGGCCACTCTGCTTTTTTCAGAACTAAGTTTTATTGCAGCAAGTCGTTTTTCTTTAACCAAAAAGACCTTGTAATTTGTCTGAGAAAGCTGATAGTATCATTAGGTTATACAAATGGAACATTAAACAGACTGCCTTCGGAGGGCCAGCATTATGTAATTTGATCAACAATGGATTGCTTTGATATTGCATCTCTCTTCACCCCATTATTAACTTCCCTCTATAAATTGATCAGACTTGTAACATCTGCTCTTGTAATCTATACATTGTGACCTGTATGTGGGATAGGAATATATAACGTGCTTGAGAAGTGTGCTCTCTGTTGGGTGGTAGTAGTCCTTTATCTTGCAAACACAATGTCAAGTGTGTGCTTCTTTAAACCTTCATGATGCTATGAGTTTCAAGAATTCATCTAGAATAACAGTGATACTGTTACATCTTGCACTGCAATAATTTCCTGTTTGAATTTTTTTAAGTAAAACTTTTATTTGACAACTTTAACTTTTTTTTAAAGCATCAACTTCTAAATCATATATATCTTGAAAGATATCTTAATTTTGTTAATCTTTAGCTTGTCACAACTCTGAATGATACTTTGGTGGCCAGTCCTTCTGTTTCTGCTAATCTTAAGGAAGAAGTTCTGAGACTCAGAAAGGCTAATGAAACTTTGCTGCAAGAAGTTGAGGTAAGACAGAGATGCTGCTTATCCCTACAAAAACACAACCACACCATAAAAACCCCCTGTGCTAAAACCTGCAATTAGAAATGGTTCTTTACAACCCACCTATTACTTGACCCTTGTTTGTGCAGAACCACACTTCGACTATTGAAGAACTGAAGGAAAATGAGGAAAAACTGAAAAGCTTAAATCAAGATCTCTGTTGTCAGATGAGAAAGATAGTTCAGGATTTTGATCAGGATAAACAAGAAGCCATTGACAGGTAAGTCTGTTAACTCGATTTAGTTCCATTTGTGAACTTGTAGCCTGCATGTATAATCTTGTACCAGCTACCTGGTACAAGGGGAGGTCAGCATTAGAAAGCTAATTTCTTACTTAAGGAAAAGTTAAACCCTGTTTAAAAATGGGGGAAAAAAAACCTAGGTAGTTTTTTTTTTCTTTCTTGAAATCATAGGTGTGAAAGAACTTATCAGCAACATCATGAGGATACAAAAGCACATTTTGAGAAAGACCTGATGGGGAGGTATGCTGCTGAAAAACAGCAGCTTGTTCAAACTTATGAAGAGACTATCTCACAGTTAAAGTAAGACTGAACTTTTTTTTTTCCCCCACTTATACTGAAACTTGCACATTTCTTGTCTGGCCTTTAGAACTAGTTACACTTTTTTTAGAACAGGTTTGCTGTCCTGTGAGTGTAAAGACTAATTGATAATAAATTATCTATCCTGTGAAGGGCTAACATAGAGGAGCTGAACAGAGAGATGACTGTAGTGAAGGAATGTTACATCGGGGTCTGTGGTGAGAAGGATGCCTTGGAAGCTACTTTACGGCAGAAATTTGAGCAAGAGCAGCAGCTGAAGGAAGAGAAGGTACTAATAGAAATACCCATAAACCATATAATTTCATAGTGTTTTTGAGATGTAATATCCCTAAGTGTGTTTAACTTTGTATTTGTTTGGGGAAGATACTTGGAAGAGATGCAGCTATATCAGAAAGTTAATACTTGTGACCTATTGGTTGTTAAATTAACCTGCTGTTGTGTCCTGGGGTTTAGAATATTGTAAAGTAACCCTTTCCAATAACTATTAATTTTCAGGTTCTCAACTTTCATAATTTTTACTCTTGAGGACTACTCAGTCAGCAGTGAGAGCTTTTACATTCATGAGATGTTTTCTAGAAAACTGAAGGACACTGCAAGTTTTCTTCTGCCCATATAAAACTGATCTGAAAATACTGTGGTTTTTTTAAGTAATAATGAATTTAGACTGCTGTATTGATTAAAAACTTGGCTTTTCTGAAGATATCGGTGTGAAATGGCTAAAGTAGGCCAACTAAGCAAGTACAGTAAAGAGGTGCACCTCAAAGTATGCTGGGAATAAAGATCCCTGATAAGAAAACTTATTTTAGAGCAATAACCTGTAATAACCTCTGATGTCATACCTTAAACCGCTTCCTTTTGAGAGGTGAATCTCTTGTCCAGGTGTCGTCAGTAAGATCAGTGCATATACCCTAGAATCTCTCGTGCATCCTCATCACTTTGAACCAGAGCAGTTCGCTGTGCCTTGGAGAACACTTCTTTAAATTTTTTTATTTTTTTTTACCTAGCTCAAGAAACAGCTACTAGAAGAAAAGGAAGACTCTCTTAACCTTCTGAGGACTGAGCTTGAAAAGAAACATAGCAGTTTTATGATAGCAGCAAAGAGACAGTGGCTGGAAGAAAAAGAACAGCAGGTTGAAGAGGAAATTGCATTAGCAAAAGTCCACTGGGAGAAGGAAGAAAAAGAGGTGAGTGACTTCAACAGAGGATTTAAAACTTTTTTTTTTGGTGCTCTGTTTATTTTCAGAAGGAGAACTTGTATGTAGATAGACTTATGCACTGGTATTCTGCCATTTGAAGTGGCTTTTAAGAATCTGTCATTTTAGAAGCCTTTGAAGAAGTCAGTAGGTATTATACATTGCTTAAGATGTTGGAAAAGAAGTCCTAGACATCATAAAATAACATGCAGAATGTCCTGAATGTCAGAGCTGGTAATATGCTGGAGTTTTCCACCCTGATCCTTGGGTGAGTGGTTACAGTTTCTATTTTTTTCATTCAGTTACACAAAGGACCTCTATATGATGTCCTATCCCATAGAAGAAAGCTGTGATGAGGATGAAAAAACAACTCATTCTTCACCAAACTCTGCTTTCCAAATGTGGTCTTGCTCTTCCCCTGCTAGGGAAAATTACTGGTGTAAATCAAGTTTTGTTTGTTAAGTACTAGCAAAATTCTAATTATTTGGACATTGGGGAGATTTTCTTAAAGATATTTTTTTCCTTAGAATAAAGAACAAGTCTTTGCAAAAATAGAAAGAGAATGGCAAAGTAGACTGGAAGAAATGAGAAGAACTGTAGTTGAATGTAATGACTGCAGCGGCCAAACTGATGGAGTAACAGTTGTGGATGGATCTTCAACTAAAGAGTTAGAAGGGATTGAAGACCAGAGGCTGCAGATCCAGAAAGCTCTGAAAGAAAACATGGCCTCTGAAGAGGCATTAAAAGAGTTTGAAATAGAACTGGAAAATAAGTACCGTAAAAATCTTTCTAGCCAGGTAACAAATAATTGTTCTGTCTGCCTGGAGCCTGTGAAACTGCCATGTGCAATGAAGTCACATAAAAAAAAAAAAAGTGTTCTCTTCCACTAACCTTTTCTTAAGCTCAGTAGTTGATATTTGCTATATTAGAAATATATTTTTTTTAAAAAAGCTTCTGAAGAAGCTGTAGCATGTAGCTTGTTTTTTCTAGCTGTTGATTTTTCACACAATTGAACAAGTTTTGCAGGAGTTTTGAAGAGACCTGAGCAAGACTGACTTAGAGTTTATACCATTTTATTTAGAAAATTAAATTTAATAGTAATTTTTTAAAAATTATTTTTGCATCAAGAAATGCATTGGATGCTGCTGGTCTGGTTCTTTTAATTTCTGTAAACATAAGCAATCCAAACTGAAGTCTGTTCTATTACTGATACAGGAAACTAATAATAAAAATGTATTCAGTGGTGGTGACTGAAGTAGGTTTTGGGTTTTTTTTTGTTTTTTTGTTTTTTTTTTTTATCTGCTTATAGGTAGATGCAGCTTTAACCTAAGCTCGTGCCAGGTGGCTGCAAGAGTTAACAGACCTCAAAGAGTACAAATTAAATCTAGAGAAAGAAAAGGAAAAATGGGAAAAAGAGCATGAAGAGACTGCAGCAAAGCAGGTAGCCTCAAATACTTGTATGTGTGTATTGATAAACAGTTCAGGCTTCCAGTTCTCATGTATTACTGGGGAATGAATACAGATGTAGGGGGAGAATTATTAAGGAAAGATGTTTCTAGTGTACCCTTGTTCTGATCCATTTTTTTGCCTATATAGTATTATATTTTTATTAAGTAACTTGAAAATCATCTCCAGTAGATTGATAATGACCCAGGGTTATGTTTTATGTGTATATAAATGTATGTATATATTTATAATGACTGTGTTATGTATTCACCAGTTAGCACTAGTTCTCTCAGCTGCTGAAGAGAAATGGAAGAAAGAATATGAGAATACAGAGAAATCTGGACCAAGAATTAAAGAACTTGAAGAAAAAGTAGCGTCTCTCAAGAAGGAATTGGAGCTAAAGAGAGAAGAAATCCCTGCAGCTATCAAAGCAGAACTAGCAAAAGCCCGTGCTCAGTGGAACAAAGAAAAGCAAGAAGAAATCCTGCAGATACAAGAACAAAATGAGAGAGACTACCGATCATTCTTAGATGATCACAGAAACAGAATTAAAGAGGTACTTGCAACAGCAAAGGAGGATCTTGCAAACCAGAAAAATGATCTCTCCATTCAGAAAGATGCAGAAATTAAGAAGTTACTAGACCAAAAGCAGCGAGAATGGGAGGCTCAGGAAACAAAGAGACTGCAGGATGAAATTAATCGGTATGAGGAGAAGACTCTGGTTGAGCTTGAGTACTTGTTGAGTGAAATCCATGAAGAACTAGTCAAGGTCACACATAGTAAGCATTCTTGGAAGGATAAGTGTTTTGATGCTCATGTTCAGTTAAACCATCAATGCAAAGACAAGCTGAAGGCTTGCTTACAAAAGGCATACAGAACTACAGTCTACACAATTCTGGAAAAGGAAGAGCAAGAATGGAAACAGGTAATATTTCTGTAAATTATAACTGCCAAACAGAAAGGGATTTGAGAAGTCAGACTCATACCTGTTCTTTCCCAGTATAAAATATCTATGTAATCCTGAGGATTGGAGCATCCAATTGATAACAACAGTCCTTTAAAACTATAAAAGAGGGATAAATCTACCATTAGCAAGCGGAAGGGAAAAGGCTGGATGTAGCTTTGACACCTTCAGTCTTTAAAGAAGAGGAAGGCTGGTTAGGAGTGTCAGTGTTTAATGTCAAGATTCATAAATTAAGGAGATGAATCCACCATCGTAAGTTTGGGAGCCCGTTGAAGGCTCCTTGTGACCTCAGGTGGGCACATCTTAGATTTTTGCATAGCTGCTGCTATGTGATATGATAGTGATTGTGGATCATATTACACTCCCCCTCATTTCTGATACAAATAAAGATGAAAACAGTAAAACCTTTTTTGTGAACTATCTGTAGAAGAACTGAGTAGCTGACAAACTGGTCTATCTCGGTAATAATAGTCTTGCTTAACTCTGTTGTGGCTCTAGGAAATCCTTTTCAATGTGCCTGCCCAAATGAGGAAAGACATCCTACCCTCTTCTAGAGGAGTTTGGGGCTAAGTAGAATTCTGTCCAAAAGCTTTTGTTTCTGTTGTTTTGGCAGGTTCTTCTTTTTGCAGTGCTTATGTTTGTAGTAAGTTTTTGATTATAGGGAGCATCCCACCGGAAATGCCATTGCCACCCAGCATTATCCAAGAATAGGACAGAGAAAGAGACTGTCTTGTTTTTTAAGAAAAGGCAGGACGGGGAGGGGGGGGAATGAGTATGAAGTTTAGGGTTTTTTAGTGGTAATATATTTCTGTTCAGAAAGTGGTCCTTTAAAGTTTTCTTGTGATGAGTTATTTTCATGATGGTAAGGAGAGTAGGAAGTTTTATTCCTATGCCTGATGCATCTTCTGTAATAGATATGAAGTCTCTTGGTAAACTGTTTTTATATGTGCCTTTGAACTTCAAAACATTGGTTGTCCTGAAACACCTGACCTAGTGAAGTCTTTGTAATTTCTTAATAATGGCTTCTCTTATGCTATCATAATAACAATAAAGAAAGGAGTTACGTTCTTCTAGATTACTTTCTTGTCCCTCTACCACCTGTGTTTGTGCAGAAACTCTCAATGACTCCAAACCCTTTTCTGCTGGATACACCTCTTAAAAAGCAAGTTAGCTTTAACTGTTCAAAGACACTGTATAGTTCTGCAATGTTAAGGGCTACTGACATTTCCAAAATAACACTCAAGATAGTCAGATACTGCTGTTGCAGTGAATTATGCTAAGTAACACTTCTGTATGGTAGAATACACATTTTCCTCCCGATTTGAGCTGCAATCTACGGTTCTATTGCAGGTTTAAAGCACCTGCCTTAAAATGACTAAAGCTACTTGGTGTCCAGGGTGGCTTTTTTTTTTTTTTTTTGCATAACATACTATGTACCTACTTTAAGATAGTGTGGAGCACTTTGGGGTTTTTTTGCTATGTGTTGGGTTTTCAGAAAGTGTTTTTCAATTGCAGAAATATGAAGAGCTAGTGAGTAATGTAAATAAAGAATACTCTTGTCTGCAACGTAGTGAAGGAGGAACTGGGGACATGACAAGACCTCCTGTGTGCAAACACCAAGCAGAAGCCCAAAGGAGGCCAAGACAGCCATCCGTGCAGGAAACTGGAACAGACAAAGGTATTTCATTTGTTTTTTTTAATCTGGAAAGTTGTGTATCATCAAATGAATCTTGTCTATGTCGTGCTAACTTCGCATTAGAGTCATTAATTAATTAGTGAATGTTTGGGTGAGAAAGGAAGATGCCGTTCTTCTGACTGTAAGGTTGCTTCATGTTGTATTAGCTTGTACTATGTTAAAGTCACAAACTGTGCAACAAATGGTACTGGTCTGCAGCTTGCTGATTTAATGCTAGACTTTGATGTTTAATTTTATTAAATGCTAGTAGCTTTCTGCTTTTTAAAGCCATTCTTCAGGGATAAAGAAATAGCTGCTGTTTCTGCTGCAGGTGTAAATACTCTTTGGGGCTTGTGGACGTAAACACTAATACCTTTGGTGTTTAACAGCTCATAAGCAATGTTGATCAAGGTGAGCAGGGTATGGTCGAAAGTCTAAACTGTCTTGTAGATGAGTAATACTAAATGAGAGCTTTGAAGATCAAATTGTACTACTTGCTCTTGACATTAGACAAGACAAGGAATTCCACATTTGTATAAAAGATATTATTGTGTCAAGAAACACTTCATTTGGCATGGTAGTTTTTTCTGATTCTTTTGATCAAGGATGTAGTTAAAAAAAAAAAAAAAGTAAATCCCTGGGTGATGCTTCTCTCTTTTTCTTTCCTTCCCCTCATATATACTTCAGCATTGTAGCTCTTCCCAAAGCTGTCAGTTGTGCTATGGCAAAGCTGGAGACAACATAGCTGGGAAAAAACTTCATGGGAGGCACAGAAATCTCTCTGGGGCTTACTGTTTAGTTTAGAGTTCTTATGCAACCAGGAAACATAAAGCAAGAATACCCAAGAGAGTCTTTGGCTTTATGCCTATAGTGTGGCTTGAATTCCTTCAACACCAAAATAACAAGTCATTTATTAAACACAAAAACAATGCAAGCAGTGCAGCTCCTCTGTCTCTAGAGCTCCTGGTCCTGGCTATAGAGAGCAGCCGTTACTCTCCTGGAAATAGCCCAGTCTTTGTGAATTTCTTAACTTAACTAGACTGAGCTGCATGTGAGGCTTCCCAGCTGGGAGAGTCTCCTTTAGCTGATTCCAAAAGACCCTGCTTGGCTGGGGGTGGGTAAGAAAAAAAAAAAATCAACTTGCAAGTCTCATATCTCTGACTGAAGACTCAAATCCTCACTGATGGGAGTGCATTGAGGCTGTAAGGGCTCAACAACTCGACAGATGCTACTGCACCTACTGTAACAGGGTTCCAGCCTCTTGTAATTATTTTAATTAGACAAATGTGTTCTGTGCTTTCCAGCAGGAGAAAGACTAAGTAGAGCACTGGAAATAGTAAAGTTGGGCTTGTTTCTTTTTTTGGTGCCATGCTTGATGTATAATTTATAGCTATTACTGTTGCAGGTCAGAAACGTACAAAAAGGACCCTTGGATCTTGGGAAGACTTTTGCTGTGAACGCTGCTGCCAGGAGCTTGAAAAAAGAGAGGCTGTGTGCCAGGACTTGAAAAGAGAGCTAGAGAGAGCCCACAAACATCTTCAGCTTGCTGTGAAGGAGCATGAAGCTAAGTCAGAGCAAATCCAAGGTCAGGATTGTTAGTCACCTATAGACAACTCTGAATGGCTCTGCCCTGCTGCTTGCATGAGTTTCTTTTTATCTGTTGCATCATTTGTTTTTCAGTGCATGGATGGGATGTGTGTGCATACTTAAACAAACCAACCTCCCCCAACAAAAAACCACAAACTGACTTCCCTCCCTGCCATGCCCCTGAGACCCCCACCACGCTCTTGGCTTTAAACATTACCTATCACTGCAGTACTCTCATATATATCAGGAAAAGAATAGAGGAAAACTGAGCACATGGCAGATGTTCTTTGACTCTGTGTACAAGTGGATCCTGTTGCCCATGAGGATTATACAAATAATGCATGAATGTGCACATACACACCTATCAATGTATATGAGTCAGGGAAGTCTTCAGTTATCTCCTTTGAGGCTGTACTGTTGCTGTGCTCATACTCATTCCCCTCCAGCAGGATTATAGAGCAGAGTAGTCCCAAATCTTGTGTCTTCCTGGCACCAGTAGTAATAAGCCACTTACCACAGTTTTCTTGTACCTTCCTGTAATTAATAATAGCTTGAAACTGTAGTTCTGTTTGTCTTTAAAAAAAAACCAAAACCAAAAACAACAACAACAAAAAAACCCAAAACCCAGCCTTAAATGAGATTTGAAATAGGTTTTAGTCTCTTTGCCTTTTAAAGTCAAGATGTTCTTTTTCTTTTGTGTCACTTTGAAATAAGAAATACAGGACAGGTGACTGAGAAAAGGTCTGTAGTTCTTAAATCTTCCTTTCCTATACGATGACTGTCTCTACCAAAGATGAATATGAAGTACACACTCTGTTTTTGGAGTAGTCACTGGAAGGAAGGTTTCTGCCTGGAGTATGAAAATAAGGCTTTTCTGAAGCTATTTCTGATGGAAAAAGATGATGCAAAATAAGTTGCTTGAGATTGTTTCCTACCATATGGAGCACAGTTCCCATTTAGTTGGTATCTGAAGAAGTGTATCCCCTTATTCAACTATATTGAAGTCAGTAGCAGTCTTTGGTTTAAGGAGCAGAACAAAGAGAATGGTGTTTTCTCTGAAGGAAAACATGTTGGTGATTAAATAAGAGGATCATCTCCCTGCAGTGTTTTAAGCAGTTGAAGCTGTACACAGACGTGTTCAGGGCATTTTTATTTTTTTTTTTTTTTTTAGGCTCTCTTTAGAGCATGGCAGGCATTGGACTTGCTGAAGGTCTTGGTTCAGGAGAGGCCTCAAACTGTATCCTGAGGGTCAGTAGCTCTGTAGACTTGTTTAAGCATGCCTCAGTGCAAGATCACTGTGGCCACTGTGAGCAGGTTTGGCAAGTGGCCAACTTGGAGAGAGCAGATGTGAGGTAGTAGGTTGTACCAAGTGACTAAATAGTCTTACTTGCCAAAGGCTGTGGCTTCTTGTGTGTTGTGTGGGGTAGGGGTTTGCTCCCCTTCTTCCCCCCCCTTTTTTTTATGAAGAGTCTCAGTTGCCTGCTGTAATAAATTTTACACTCAGTGAGGAGGAATAAAATGCTAGATGTTTGTAAGAGAAAAGTTTGTGCACTTTGCAGATGGGTGAGCAAGGCCAGGTGGGTAAGTTGTGCAGATTTGTGTAATGTTATTTCTGTGTTCTTTTGTCAACAACCATATAGTGTGTAAACTTCCTTGGGGACTGCAGGAAAGATTGAAGGAGAATAGGAGGGCTGTTAATGAAAACAGAGGCTACTGTTGTCACTAAGGTCATCATGGATACAACTCTCAACTGCTCAAAATTAGATTCAGACCACAAATTAGGATCTCTGAAGGCCATGAATTGCTTCTGTCTGTATTCTAGGATGGCTGCTTGCTTTTTGCTTTTCTGTGCATCACCCTAGAGAATGAAGAAAGCCAAACTTGTCTGTGTCTTTCCCAGGGCTCATAATCCACCCATGAAAGCCTTGATTCTTCCAGAAGGAAGACTTGTCCTTAATAAGACATGCCCTCTGTTGTGTGGTGACAGTCTGTTTTCCTTAGTCCATAGTTCACATGAGAACTTCTGTGGCTGAGTGCAGTGGAGGTATCTCCAGCATTCAGTGCACGTGTTCATTTCATGTTGATTTTCTTTCCTGAAATAGGAAATCTAGTAATCAACTGTTGATCTTTATGGGTCTATCTAAGTTTATCCATCAGTTCTTCAAATTATGGTAAATACCTGTACGCTTTTTAAAAATAATCACTTGCTTAGGTTAGATTACATGGCTAATAAATAGGTTTTAAGGCTTTTGGATTTGCAGGAGATAACCCACAGGTGGACCATATGTCATGATCAACTGTCTTCAGTATCAAGCTGAAATCCTCCACTTTGGGCTTTTTTAACTCCACTGCCTTCTCATTCTCTGTGGTACACTTTGGGCTTTAACTCCACTGCCTTCTCATTCTCTGTGGTGGCTCATAATATTTCTAGCATTGAGCAGAGTTCAGCATGGAAGTCCAGCTTCTCTCTGTAATAGTGGCTCTTGATAATTTGAAAATAAAAATAAAACAAAACCCAAGCAACAACCATGTTTTATCTTTTGTCTCTCTACCCCAAAGAAGGCACAATTGCTAACCCACAAATTAATAATTCTCTTCCAATATTTGTCAAAGTAACCCTCGTTATTTCTTTGCCCCCCGCTCCCCTTCTCTACATGTATACCTGGTGCATCTGAAGTTTTGCCTCCAGCACAGTGTTAGTAATGGCATATGAAGGCTTTAAGCTTATTTAATTACTGCATGAGAGTACTTGTATTCAGGCTTTATTGAAATATATTGTAATTTATTTCTATGTGCTTGTTACTGCAACAGCTGTACACTTGCTGGTTTTGCTTTGTGATGTTGAGCTCTTTACAAGAGACAGCAGTTTATGGAATAAATTCTGTTGAACTCAACTTTAATTTAGGGAAGATTTATGGTTCATCACTTTTTTTTAATAGAAAATGAGAAGGTTCTAGAAGCTCTAATTGCAGAAAACACTGAAATAAAGACTAAACTGAAAGACCTGGAAACACCACCAAGGTATTTAAAAAAATCTGAAGTTGAGTGTTTGGTTGTTTTGGGGTTTTTTTGTGTTGGGTTTTTTTTTTTTTTCGGGGCAGGGGGGAGGCAGTTTTGTTGTGGGGTTTTTTGTAGCATATAAGCTGCTTTTCTTGTGCAGTGTGACTTATGCACATTTCAGGTCATTGTCAAATGGAGGCGTCTCAAAGCCTTGTACATCCTGTGACTCTGTGAAAGGGCTGGAAGAAATGCGCGCTCAGTACATTAAAGCTGTGAGCAAGATTAAGTGTAAGTACTAAAGTCTTAGCTAAAAAGTTATGAGAGCAAAATAATTTACTTTGTCACTTCCTTCTCCTCCAGCCAACTTGCACAGGAATCTGACAGCCAAATGGCATGAGAAGTAATTATTTTTTTCTTCTAACTAAAGTGAATGTGAATTCACTCCTCTTACTAGAGTGAATGCAATTGTCACCATAATCTTAGGCAAGATTAATTGTGATGGGTGAAGCCTTTTTATACCCTCCTCGCTTTGTTGCATTGTATTATGTCTTTTAAAGTGGTAAAGTGTATTTTGAGAACTGACCTTGTTTTTCCAGCAAATACTCCACCTACTCTGCAGCTTGTTCTGAGGGAGAATCTGCCTTTCTCTTGTGCTGTATCCTGCTTTCTGGGTTAATCAGCAGCCCTCTGGCTGAGGAGAGAGGATTAAGTGTAGCACCAGGCTTTACCTGAGTGCAGCGGGTCCTCAAATGCTGGCTGTGTTGCCATTGAAGAATTCCTAGACCTGCATTTTAGCAGCCAACATTCCTTCCAAATCCCTGTGCCTAGTGTTTGCTATTGCTGCTGAAGATGCAGAATTAGACAACTTAATTCCTGTCTGATGCTTCATGTCGACCTACTCTGATCTTCAGTGGCATTTATCCAGTAGGCAACACTTGGCATAAGGATTTGGGTGGAATGTTGGCAGGTAAATATCCAGGCCCTTGTTGACTTGCTCCAGGTTTGCTAGACAGTCCTAGTTTGTGGTGTTGGCTTTTTTCCCCACTTTGGGGGAGAACTGGTACTAATGAAGTGTGTTTGTAGGTGATATGCTTTGTTATATCCGTGAAAGTAAGGAGCGAGCAGCTGAAATGATTAAAGCAGAGGTTTCAAGAGAGCGCCAATCGACGGCACGGAAAATGCGCAAGTACTATTTGACATGCCTTCAACAACTTCTTACTGATAATGGGAAACAGGAAGGGTAAGTTCAAGTATGTTTGGAAATTACTTGGTTTTGAAAGAGGTTGTAGATGTTAGTCTGGTGTCTGTCCACCTTGGAGCAAAGTGTCTGACCTGAAGTCTTGCAAGTCTGCTCAGATTGGCACGGGGTCACTGCTGAGCAGCTGGCGTACTGTTCTTGCTAACATTACCTTGAAGTAAAATGCAGAGTTGAAAAGTAATTACTCTCAAACTTAAATGTATTTTTTCATGTTCTGAAATTCTTGGCAGAGCTGAAAAGAAAATAATGAATGCTGCCAGTAAGCTTGCTGCAATGGCTAAAGGACTTGAAACACCTCTTCGACACATTCCCCAAAGCAAATCTACTCGCTCAGGTATGTTAGATTCTGTAGTTCTCTTCTCGATCATCTTGATTTAATGCAGGTAGTACTGAAGATGCAGATGGAAAGTGAAGTACTATCTATTTGTAAGGTTGCTAATTGAAATACAAGCTGCTTATTTTGACAATGCTTACAATTCTTTATTTAAACAAAAAACAAAAGCAGCCATCCCCTCCCCC